AAGGAAGGAAGGAAGGAAGGAAGGAAGGAAGGAAGGAAGGAAGGAAGGAAGGAAGGAAGGAAGGAAGAAAGGAAGAGGCATTCTAAAAACCATAGTAGGAAGCTAGGCAGTGGTGCACGCCTTTAATCCCAGCATTGGGAGGCAGAGCAGGCAGACAGGAAAGGTAAAAGTCAATACACTGAGCAGCACGAAGGATTCTTGCAGTAAAGAAGTACAACCAAATCACAAACACATGGATTACTAACCCCGGCTTCGTGTCCTGCTTCTGCTCCTCGTCCTGCTTCTATCTCTATCCCTGTCGCGAAGCCTCTCTTTACTCCAACTTCGACTCCGACTCCTGCTGTAACTGCGACTTCTCCCTCGCCTTCTGTTATACCGGTCTCTGTATGAATCTCTTCGAGGAGGGTTTCGATCATAATCTCTTTTTCGAGAACGATCGTCTTTTTTCCTCTCATCACGGCTTCTAAAAAATGTATCGTTACTTTTATGTGAATAATGCTGAAGTAAATGTACGGGGGAAAAAACCTCCAAATATGTAACTTGTGTCATTATCATGATACAAACCAAGACAACTTCAAAAACTGAAAACTCAGATTACTTATTCTAAAAGCTTTTTAAAAGAAAATCAACTCATCCCTTAATTCTTAGTCTTTTGTACAATATCTATTCAATTATGTATCTACAGACATCCACATGCATCTTATATACATACAATCACATTTGCAAGTATCACCTGTATCAGTCTTGATGCTTTTGAAGCCACAATAGGCAAAATAATTTAATCACACTAAAAGGAATCTTTAACCCCCACCCCAACCCACAAAAGAAATCTTAAAAAAAAAAAAAAAAAAGCCCCAAATAACCCTCATTAAGAGTCACTGGATCTGAAGTTAGGAAGAGCAATATCCCTAAAAACTAAATCTCACTCCCCGCACATAGAGTGGACCTAGACATTCTTGGTAGGAGGGACCTAGTTTTACTTTGCTGAACCACTAACAGAGCAGCAGTACTGGGTGATGGCGGCACATGCCTGCAGTGTAATCCCAGCACTCAGGAGGCAGAGGCAAGACTGCCTGAGTCGTATGCCACCTAATTGGCAAGGTCCTATCTCAAAACAAGAAAATTCCAAAAGAACACAGAAAACGTAAATGCTACTTGTACCTTTGTAAAATATAACCAGTCTAAATAATAAAAAATAAAATCTAAACATTAAGAATGTCTCGACAAATCACCTATTGTCTCTGTATCGGGAGCTTGACTGGGGAGGACTATGATTTAGCCTTCTGGAAAACTTCTTCTCTCGCTCTTCCTCCTTTGTGAGCTAATAAAAAAAATTGGACAACTTTATCAACAGTAATTCTTTGCCATGTTACTATTTCAATGACTTAATATTAATTTATTGCGAAACTAAATTTTTACAAATATTCAAGGAAAATTACTTTCTCTATCAAATACAACCCTTAACCTGTAACTTGTAACTGTCTGCCAAAAGATAAATTGAATAATAAAGTCACAAACCCTTACTTTAGATAACAGCGGCAAAAAATATTTTAAGCAAATGTCTTCATTTTAACATATGAAAGCCAATTTCTTCCTTATATCAAAAGTCTAACATTCATGCTTCTGTTTGGTAGACTTGGTTTCACATTATAGAACAGAGAAAACAATAGTACTAAACAAGTCATTAAAAAAAAGTATACAAGAAAATAATATACAAAATGAAAGTTTTTAGTAAGATATACAAATAATAATACAAAATGAAACAATCATTTTAGAGCATCATGTCAGCTATGTATTACTGTTTCCTATAGGAGGCCTCAATTTTATAGCTACTAGAAAGGAATATGCCTTTAGTCATTACTACACTATCCAAATTATACTTCTCACAACACTGATTCCATAGGACACTAGTATGTGATTAGAAAAAATTTAGAAGTTAGACAAATTCAGAATATTAATAATAGATTCTGTAAATATTCCAGGGCTTTGAAGATTGTGTATTTTAAGTAAGGACATAAAGAAATTCTGATGCAGACAATCTATGAGTACATATATCCAAGTTTATGTCAGCCTTCCCAGCATTCCTCTAGGTTATACTTAAAAAAAAAAAAAGCCCACTAGTATGGAATGTTTGCCACATGAATTAATTAAATAAAAACCTATCAAAAATCTAACTTGGGAGGCTGGAGAGATGGCTCAGCAGTTAAGAGCACTGGCTGTTCTTCCAGAGGTCCTGAGTTCAATTCCCAGCAACATGGTGGCTCACAACCATCCGTAATGAGATCTGGTGCCCTCTTCTGGCCTGCAAGCATGCATGTAAGCAGAACTCTGTATACATAATAAATAAATAAATCTTAAAAAAAAAAACCTAACTTGGAGAAATGCACTTTCAACAATTTGCACCCCCATCAATTCTCTTGCCAATTCATACAAAAACCGAATATTACCAAAATATATCTGATGCAGTTTTATTTAAGACTTGTATGCACTGTGTACCCAAGGCTGGCCTGAAACTTAAAAACCTTCCGTCTCAGCCTCAAGTGTGGGTATTATAAGCCCAAGGATATCCAGATCACCTTGTGCACTTCTGCCTTTTATTTGTTTTCAAGCAAAACAAGTTAACACTCCATCCTACAAACATACAGCAACATATTTTGCACGCGCACATGCACACACAGAGCAATATCCTATAATACATGCCCAAACAGAAATTTTGGTGTTTCCACACCATGTGGCATTTTAGTAATTCTGAAAGCTCATCTACAAAAACCTTCCACAACTGGTCAAGAAAAATATTAAAAATAACAACTTTAGCAACAGATAGGATACTAATCTTTGTTATCATCATGCACTGGGACAAGGACCCAGAGTTAACTCAAGAGTTCTTGAGAATTCAAACAGAATTTAAAGCTAGATATAGTAACATGCACCTGTATTTCCAGATATTTCAGAAGCTGACACAGAATGTCACCGGTGTCAGGTGCTGCTTGATTTTACCCTCACACACTCTCTCCCTTCCCATATGTTATGTGTGTTTGTAATTGTAGACACTTGAGTACACACACACACACACACACACACACACACACACACACACACACACAACTTAACTGCAAGCAACCCAAACTTCTGCCAGCGGGCAAGTTTCATAATGTTATGTCTCCATATATGGAAGAAGTGATGATGAGTGCAATGGTGTCCTGCTTACATTGTATCCACTCCGCTGTCAGGTATTACAAGACAGTCATAGAAGTACGTTATGATCCTCTCCTGCAGCTAAAACTAACTGGACCATGTGTGTGCATGTGTATAAAAATATATATACTCAGGTACAGAGATGAAAAATAATTCTGAGAATTATTACACATTAATATGTATCTATCATTATATCATAAACTGTATTACTTATATAATCTGAGAACAGATTAGGAGGAAGGAAAAAGACCAAAAGACTCTCCCAACAGTAATGGCACTATCATTTACTAAGAACTTGCCATGTGCCAAGCAGTACACCAACTGCTGTATAGACATTATTTTACTTGTCCCTCGCTATAACCCTGTAACATCACTATTTCACAGCTAAATAAAACCAAGCTCAAGAAATTAACGTTTTCAACATCATGGAGTGCATAAACAGAGAACCAAAATTGTAGTAAGATTGGTATGTAGGGGCTATACTGTACTTGTAGAGGACCTTAGGCTGGTTCCCAACACCCATGCCAGACAACTCAGAGCCACCTACAACTTCAGGAGATCCGATTGTGGGCACTGGCACTCACGTGCCAATACCCACACACAGACACAAAAGCATGAATATCATTAAAAATAAAATGTTAAAGGCTGGGTCAAGTGTGGTGACAGAAGGCAGAGCCAAGGGAATTGTCAATGAACTGGAGATCATCTTAGTATACACTTCAATTTTCAGTCAAGCTAGGAATACATAGGCCCTGTCCCAAGAAAACCAAAACCAACACTTATTTCAACTAAAACCAGTTGAATACAAAAAACATCATAGTATGAAGAAGGCCAGCTATGTTTCCTCTGGCACAACCACCCTAGGTCATGTTAATTTTTATCAAACTGAAAAAAAAAAAATCTAAATTATTCAGGTTATTAAGCAAATGTAAATACAAATTATAAAATGCAATTTAAAACTTCCAAAAATTGAAATATGAAGTCATCTCTATTGCTTTGTAAAAGTTCCTGTTTGACTACCTTGAAAATATTCTCTGACTAAACATGTGAAAGGCAGACACAAACAAATTTCCAGTCATCCTAATGAGATTCAAAGAACACAAGGTCTAAGACTCCATGACCACAGATGATACAGAAGAGTGCAAAGCAGACCCAAAATGCTAAGCTATAAAAAGGCCTACTTATAAGACTGGTCTTCAGCTACCCTCTGAAAACTTTGGGATCTACAGTGTCTCCACCATTTCCTTTTAAGAATGGCTCACTGTACTTGTTTGTGAAAATACAATAGTTTACACCAACACTTGCTTTTCTCTTGGCAGTCTGGAATTCTGTTATATGTTAGGCAGAAGATGAATAATCCAAATAAAAATAATCCAAATAATCCAACTGAGCATTGCTGTTCTTCCAGAGGACTTGGGTTCAACTCCCAGCACCTACATGGTGGCTCACAACAATCTACACCTCCAGTTCCAGGCACTGTGAGACCCTCTTTTGGCTTATACGCACTAGGTACACACAAACACCCAGGCAAAACACCGATAAACAGAATAATTTTTTTTTTAAGTCAAAAGAGTGAGCAGTAAGTCTCTGACTTCTTCCTTACAATACATGCTGCTGCTACAACTCGTGTCTAGGGAATTAAGCACATTCCATATGACTCCAGAGTGCAGATGCTCACACTTGTTTTCCACCAACTTCCTCTCAAACTGTTTTTCTTTGCTTAACTTTTAATTCTTTTGCATTAACTAAACCACAAGCATGATTACAATTAAATTCTAAGTTCACTAAGTACTCCTGGAGAAGTCCCTGAACTTAGGAACAGGTATTTAGGACACTGAATACAAAAATGCAGAAAAAACTCAACTGATTATTCCTTCTGTGAACTTAAGGAACCAACACGATACAATGAATTCTCACCTCTTCTTTTTTTATATCTTTTTCTTGGTGCTGAAGAAAGTCTACCTTCAGGCTTCCTGACGATGGCTGCTCTGGAGGAGGTAGATAACTCTTTGTGTTCACAGCATCAAAAAGTTTTTCCACAAATATTTGTGTCTCTAGAAATAAAACCAAAAAATTCACAGAACAAAAGATATTTATTAAGACTTTAATTCCCCAGTTCTACACATCAAGTTTCTTAACATCCTGACCAATAGCTTTCCAAGTAGTGTATATCGGTACAAGTTCCCTGACAATGATTCATTCAAGTTTCAAGACTAGAATGACAAAAGCCTCTTGGCCAGCTGCTCCCATCCATGACTATTCTTTGACATGTAGCACATCCAATACACAGACCCCAAAACTAGCCATTATCTAGATGTGGGAAAAGTACAACAAAGTAGGAAAATATGCTCTAAATATTTCAAGAAGTTTCTTTAGTATTGTCTAAAATAGGCAGTTGTTTTCTTAATATGTTAATCTATGTAACAAAGTAGTATAAAAGATATTGAGGAAAGAAACCATAAATATAAAAACAGTCTTATGTGTATTCAACGCTGTTACAGCTAACACAACCAGGGGCTAAATTCCTTTACTATTTGTACACAATATTATTTTAAGTAACTTATTCAAATAGTATTTTAAAACCAAAGGTATTACCTTTCTGAAGAAATACATCGAGCTGATCAATGCATAATGCCTTTAATTCCTTCTCACTTTTGTCTTTCTTTACCAGAGCTAAAACATATTTTGCTAGGGCTGATGGATCGGCATCACAGCTAAAGAAAAAAATAATAATAATAATGCTGAAAGAAACTTAGCCATAAATGACTTCACATCTATAACTAAGTTATAACTCACAAAATATGACATATAATTGAGTTAATATATGTAAAAACACTAGGCTCATGAAAGGCCCTGAATGAATATTTTCCTTATGTTAATATATTTTATATGCTGCATCACTTCTCGAAAACATAATTTTTTTTTTTTTTTTTTTTTGGTTTTTCGAAACAGGTTTCTCCATGTAGTTTTGGTGCCTGTCCTGGATCTCACTCTGTAGACCAGGCTGACCTCAAACTCACAGAGATCCACCTGGCTCTGGCTCTGCCTCCTGAGTGCTAGGATTAAAGGCATGCGCCACCACCGCCCAGCCTTAAAAACATAATTTCTTGAAAGCATGTCATCGGAGCTGGAGAGATGGATTAGTGGTTAAGAGCACTTGCTCTTGCAATCCCCAGTTCAGTTCCCAGAATTCACATGGAGGCTCAAAACCATCTGTAACTCCACTCAAGAGGATTGAATGAAGAGTCAAGAAAAATAGGACTAAAAGTTCAGTAATGACAACAGTGGTTCTCAATCTTCCTAATGTTGTAACCCTTTAATACAGTTCCTCATGTTGTTCCCCAACCATAAACTTATTTTGTTGCTACTTCACAACTGTAACTTTGCCACTGTTATAAATCATAATGTAAATATTTGTGTTTTCCAACCTTCAACCTCCAGAGGGATCATGACCCACAAGTTGAGAACTGATGAGTTAAAGCAAAAAGATAAATTCCTCTAGCACTAAGTTTCTATAATCAAGACCACCTATGTAACAGAGGCAGGAGGTTGGGAAGGAATGGCCGTTTAAAGAGAACAGGAAATATTAATTACGCTCAATTCACATATGAAAATGACAAGCAACAAAATACCAAAAAGAATAGACTTAGAAAAAGCAACGTTTTAAATATTAAAAGTAAGGTATATAAAAGTGTAAACAGTTGGGCGGTGGTGGCGCACCTTTAATCCCAGCACTTGGGAGGCAGAGGCAGGCGGATCTCTGTGAGTTGGGGGCCAGCCTGGTCTACAGAGCAAGTTCCAGGACAGGCACCAAAAACTACACAGAGAAACTCTGTCTCAAAAAAACCA